ATGTTTTGTTATAAACTGAAAAATTTCTCACTTAACTCGGCTGTTCGTTTCGCAAAGCGAATTTTTGTTACTTGACCAGCGTGTATTCTTCCACTTCAAACAGCGGCCTCGAATATTTTAGTTTAAAGTTGATTTTGTATATTACTATATCTATATGTATGATACAGAATTATCGTGACCCAAAATGTGTTTTTTTTGTTACTTATATACATATATTTTTTAAGATTTTGCAAACTCGAAACTACTTTTTTACTCCCAAATACAAGAGGTTGTGAACCGTCCCTGTGTGTTAGGTAGGGAGAATTTACGTTTCAAGGTTTTACATTTGTTATGAAATAATTAAATTTCCCGGTTGACAACAACACAAAAGGTATATAATAAATATGATATTTCACGTGTCGAGTAAAATATTATGTTTCTCTCATTACGTGGCGGGGAAAAATGAGATATTTCACGAGTGGCGTATATCTCCTTTATCCCCGTCAGCCACCCGTAGGCACTCGTGAAAATAACTCCTTTCTCTCCGTCACTCGGTGAGAGGAACATAATATTTTACTCGACACAAGAACAATCCTCTATATCTTACATCGATGAAGCAACATGTTAAGATTGAAATGACAAAAATAAGTTGATGTGTCCTCGCGACTGTTCCCATGGAGCATTCCTTTATTACAAAACCGTTTCAAATTAGTCCAGCTATGGCGTTAAACTATTTCGCAATCTCCTACAATGGATGTGATGAAGGAACTGAGAAGTGCTCATTCTCGATATGCCAGTCTTCAGTCTGGTTACATTCTCGATATGCCAGTCTTCAGTCTGGTTACATTCTCGATATGCCAGTCTTCAGTCTGGTTACATTCTCGATATGCCAGTCTTCAGTCTGCTTACATTCTCGATATGCCAGTCTTCAGTCTGCTTACATTCTCGATATGCCAGTCTTCAGTCTGCTTACGTTCTCGATATGCCAGTCTTCAGTCTGCTTACATTCTCGATATGCCAGTCTTCAGTCTGCTTACATTCTCGATATGCCAGTCTTCAGTCTGCTTACGTTCTCGATATGCCAGTCTTCAGTCTGCTTACATTCTTGATATGCCAGTCTTCAGTCTGCTTACATTCTTGATATGCATGTCTTCAGTCTGCTTACATTCTCGATATGCCAGTCTTCAGTCTGCTTACATTCTCGATGTGCCAGTCTTCAGTCTGCTTACATTCTCGATATGCCAGTCTTCAGTCTGGTTACATTCTCGATATGCCAGTCTTCAGTCTGCTTACATTCTCGATATGCCAGTCTTCAGTCTGCTTACATTCTCGATATGCCAGTCTTCAGTCTGCTTACGTTCTCGATATGCCAGTCTTCAGTCTGCTTACATTCTCGATATGCCAGTCTTCAGTCTGGTTACATTCTCGATATGCCAGTCTTCAGTCTGCTTACGTTCTCGATATGCCAGTCTTCAGTCTGCTTACATTCCCGATATGCCAGTCTTCAGTCTGCTTACATTCTTGATATGCATGTCTTCAGTCTGCTTACATTCTCGATATGCCAGTCTTCAGTCTGCTTACATTCTCGATGTGCCAGTCTTCAGTCTGCTTACATTCTTGATATGCATGTCTTCAGTCTGCATAGGGGCGGTCGGGTAGCCTAGCGGTTAAAGCGTTCGCTCGTCACGCCGAAGACCCGGGTTCGATTCCCGACATGGGTACAATGTGTGAAGCCCATTTCTGGTGTCCCCCGCCGTGATATTGCTGGAATATCGCTAAAAGCGGCGTAAAACCAAACTCACTCACTCACTCACTCACTTCAGTCTGCTTACATTCTCGATATGCCAGTCTTCAGTCTGCTTACATTTAACAGCCAATTTGCATTATTCTCCAGGTTGCAATTCAAAGACAGCTGCCTTTGTTGTTGTTGTAGAAGAAGACTCAACGCAGATATCTGATTTAAGAACAGTTTCATGTTGATTAGTTCTGCAACGTCAGGTGGACAAATGTCATGGCTGCAACGCATAACTCCTAATTCTGGTGCTGTCAACTGCTCCAACAACGTGGTCTTCCTTCTATGTGAATTATTGTATTTCTTAAGTTAAATACAGCTTCCAACTCTGGCGGAATGTCGCAATGGATATTCTGCTACATCTTCCGTCCCATGCTTCCTGTAGAATTGCTTTTAATGCAGATCATGGAAAGATAACTCGTTTCTATGACTGACTAGACTTGGGTATCTCATTGTGAAGACTGGGGTTCCCTTGGTGCAGGTCCCTTGGTTTGCAGTCACTGCAGTAAATGGGAACGCATCAGGTTCAGGCACAGCCAATCCAGAACCACGCACGTTCATGGATTACATAGACATCGTATAGGTGTGTGTTTAACATTATTGATATTCTCCCGTAACTTGTTATTACTTTTTACGAACACATTACAACATATGACGTGCTTTCACCAAACAAATATCGTATCTTTCCTACCTGTCCTATAACGGATTAATCACCACATGTGCGAGTTGGCGTTCTCCGGATTTCAGATCAACATTTAGTAAGATTCAGCTGTCATGGGATCAGTGAATTCCTCTCCAAGTCGCAGGATAATGACGATTTTGTGCGATGCAGCACATCAATCTTGCCGATGCTGTTTTGCGGCGGAAAGGGCAGCCTACTAATGTAGTATCGTGTATATTTTGTACTAGTCACTTGTATGTTAATGACGTTCAGGCAGCCTTCCAATGTAGTATCGTGAATATTGTGTACATCTGCTTGTCACTTGTGTGTGATTAGTGTTATTCAAGCAGCCTTCTAATGTAGTATCGTGTATATTGTGTACTTGTCACTTGTATGTAAGTGATGTTATTCAAGCAGCCTTCTAATGTAGTATCGTGTATATTGTGCACTTGTCACTTGTATGTTAGTGATGTTATTCAGGCAGCCTTCCAATGTAGTATCGTGTTTATTGTGTACTAGATACTTGTATGTTAGTGATGTTATTCAGGCAGCCTACTAATGTAGTAACGTGTATATTGTGAACTATGAACTTGTATTTTGGTGATGTTAGTCAGACAGCCTACTAATGTAGTATCGTGTATACTGTGAACTAGTCACGTGTATGTTAGTGATGTTATTCAAGCATCCTACTAATGTAGCATCGTATATAATCTGTATTGTATAATGGTCACATGTATGTGAGTAATGTTATTCAGGCAGCCTACTAATGTAGTATCGGAAATATTATATAATAGTCACATGTATGCGCGTGATGTTATTCGGACATGCTTCCAAAGTAGTATCGTGTATATTGTGAACTATTCACTCGTATGTTATTGATGTTAGTCAAGCATCCTCCTAATGTAGTATCGTGTATATTGTGAACTAGTCACTTGTATGTTAGTGATGTTATTCAGACAGCCTACTAATGTAGTATCGTCTATATTGTATAATAGTCACTTGTATGTGAGTGATGTTATTCAGGCAGCCTACTAATGTAGTATCGTATATATTGTATAATAGTCACTTGTATGTTAGTGATGTTATTCAGGCAGCCTACTAATGTAGTATCGTATACATTGCGTACTTTTCACCTGTATGTAAATTATGTTATTGGGGCAGCCTACGTATGTTGTATCGTCTATATTGTATAAAAGTCACATGTATATGAGTGATGTTATTCGGACATGCTTCCAATGTAGTATGGTGTATATTTTGAATACTCGTCACACGTGTGTTTGTCATGTTAGTCAAGCATCCTACTAATGTAGTATCGTAATATTTTATAATAGTCACTAATGTAGCATCGTATATATACTGTATTGTATAATAATCACTTGTATGTGAGTGATGGTATTCAGGCAGCCTACTAATGTAGTATCGTGTATATTGTGTACTAGTCACTTGTAGGTGAGTGATGTTATTCAGGCAGCCTACTGATGTAGTATCCCGTATATTCTGTACTAGTCATTTGTATGTGAGTGATGTCGTTCGAGCAGCCTTCTAATGTTGTGTTGGGTATATTGTGTACTAGTCACATGTGTGCTAGTGATGTTATACAGGCAGCCTACTAATATAGCATCGTGCATAATGTACCAGTCACTTGTATGTGAGTGTTGTTATTCAGGCAGCCTACTAATGTAGTATCGAAAATATTGTATAATAGTCACATGTATGTGAGTGATGTTATTCGGACATGCTTTCAAAGTAGTATCCCGTATATTGAGTACTCGTCACATGTGTGTTTCTGATATTAGTCAAGCATCCTACTAATGTAGTATCGTTAGTCACTAATGTAGTATCGTATATATTGTATTGTATACTAGTCACATGGATGTGAGTGATGTTTTTTCCCGGCAGCCTACTTATGTAGTATCGTATATATTGTATAATGGTCACTTGTATGTGAGTGATGTTATTCAGGCAGCCTTCTTATGTAGTATCTGCACAAAGCAATGCAGTACCTACATGGTGGGGTCATATATTCATCGGTTAATGATATCTACAGCCGCAAACCATGAACATCTGGCACCCTGCTTGTATTTATCCTGACGTTACTACAAGTACAAATGGTAACCACAAAAACTACAACAATAAACAGATATAAGCAACATATCATACAGTATAATATTTGCATAAATATATGTTTCTTCATGAGCGATCTAATATAATTCGTAATGAAAATGAACACGTTATCGTAAACAGAAGTTAAATATATTTCGTATGAAGTGCCCGCTACATTGCCTAAGTTAATTTTTGAGCTGTCCACATGATCGTCCGAGGAAATACATGTACATCCTACACAATTACATGTGAAAGGTATGTGATTATCAGACACACATACACGGTATGGAAGCATGTACAAATTGATAATAAGCTAAATGTATATTAGATCATTGTGCATACAATCACCTCTCTGTGTGTGTTCGCCACTGACGTGTCCTTATTGTGGTGACGTGTGACCAGGCTCCACAGACATGACTGGCTCACTATTATAGATACGCCGAGAACTCCACCAGTTGAGCTTATCAACGCTCCAGTGTGGACGTACACAGCCGCGCGTTTCACATCACACATTGATCGTTTGCAAGTTTGACCATCTCCAAGAAGAAGTGATATTCCTTAACTTGGACTTCATTATACCCAAGACATTTTTTTCGTGTATGCACAGCTATCTTTGAGTAGCATCCACCTTTTGTGTGCACTTTGGTAGTTGTTTGAAAGATCTTGTCAAGGGTTCTCACTGGAATCACACGAAGAAAGGTATATTGGATGAAGTTGTGTGTGTCTCTCAAACCCTGCCGCGGCATGTTGAGCAGTATGGAGGTTTCTTAACGGCCACCTGAACATTTCGTTTCAAGACTGATGCCCGGCACATTCGGAAAGTAGAAGGTACGAATTTATAATTTGCATAAGGTTGATTCTACGGAAACTTGCATACGCTTAATTATTCAATCTCAAAAGAAGTATAAAGGTGCAAAAGTCGAATCGGATAATAATGAAATAATCTACAACACTATATTATTTCAAAACTATATGCATTTTATGTTGCAACATATTATACATTTTATACCATTGGCTACAAAAATAATATAATTATACATAACAAATTTCCACCAGACATAATTGTAATCACGTCAACAGTATTGCGCACACACCTGGATGTAATTCCAATTCCTTTGCTCATTGCCAGTGTTACCGACAATATATGAAAGCGGCACCGAGACAAAACATTCAACATGCAAACATTTTACAAACTGAAAACCGAGTGTTTGTTTTCAAGTGTTCGTTTAAACGTATGCGAGCATGTCCTACTTTGTTTGTGAAAGGATGCATACGGTCAACATACGCATCATCGCGCGAAATGTTAACATACTGCACTTAACCTCGCATGACATTGGGGAGAGATGGACAAGTGCTTCTGCTTGAAACGATGAGTTTCGTAATACGCATAAGGTAACATCAACGTGAAATTATATATCATCGAGAGAATATCAAATTGGGTACTGCGCACGGATCGTTGAGAACAATGGACACACATGAGTGTTTTGAAAATCGATGCAAATGTTAGGAACAGTGATCCCATGCGCAAACATGTCGCCCAGTCCATTGGAGAATTGAAACACAACATCGATTCCAGATTTACAATATAACGAACTCAAATTCAACACTTTTAGATCTTTTTTGCCTGTTGTTTGGGGTTTCGTCGTTATGTGTTATTGTCGGTATGGGTGGTGATTTCGGTGGTGACGGTGGTGGCGGATGGGGTGGAGGTGCGGTCATGTATGTGTGCGTGTGCACGTGCTTGTGCGTGTGTGTATACATGTATTATTCTTATAATGTTTCAAGTTGAGTATCAATAATTACATTACCAAATACGAAACAGACCTCAAAATAACAATGAATTCATAATATCCTTATATGCACGTACCATAATATTTTGGTAATGACTTGAAGGATTCCGAAATATGACACACGCTCAATCAGATCTCCGTTGAATGGCAGCATGATATAAACATGTATGCGTAGAACTAAGGAGGAATTTCAGAACATGACCTTATTGCTTGAACACTTTTCGAATTTTAAAGTTTTGCACCATTAAATCTGTACCTGTGTGCACCACGCTCATATTTGCGTTAATAAGAATCACTGTGATTTCCGCCGTAGAAGAAGCCCGCAGAAACATTAACAATTTTGTAGTAATGGAAAGTAGCCTCATATCGATTAGCATTGCTTCATGAAAGGTAGTCATTCCAAACTGTAACACCACTGAAGGTCAGGAATATAAATAACCCGTCGACCCAAACGAGTGACTACATGGATAGTTTGTTTTGTAGCCATACCCATTTCCATTATTGTGTAGTTTCTAAAGTGCATGTTTATGTTTGCATTTATGTTTGCTCAAACATTTTTTAATTGCTACAATGTTGAGGATATATTTTAGAATAGGAGACTACACTGTATCGTGGTTATGTCCCTGACTAGTAATATGCTTTTGCCCATAATAGTGATGGCTGCCCAGTCAGTATAATCGATTGAACGTTAAAATGCATCATTAATCAATGATGACAACCCAAAATATAGATGACGCAAATGATAGGAAAGCATATAGCAATTGCTTTCTCAATAATATTTGTCCTGTTTTTAATATTTTTTAAAAAGTATCATTTCACTATAATCTGTTACCGATGAACTTGAGGAAACTTAAATAATCTTTTACATTACACGCCATTCCACATTCCAAAGCTACGAGATTGCACGTATGACGTCAGAAATCCTTAAACGGTATATGGAAAATATCAAAATACAAGTAACGTAATGGTCACCGTACAAATTCCTGCATCAAGGACAGAACACGGACATGACTCAATACGAACACAGTCCTGCAGAAAGGACAGTACACGGACATGACACAATTCAATACAACACAGTCCTGCATCAAGGACAGAACACGGACATGACTCAATACGAACACAGTCCTGCATAAAGGACAGTACACGGATAAGTCAATACGGAGAAACTTCTGCATCAAGGACAGCACACTGACATGACTCAATACGAACACAGTCCTGCAGAAAGGACAGTACACGGACATGACACAATTCAATACAACACAGTCCTGCATCAAGGACAGAACACGGACATGGCAAAATACGGAGACACCTCCTCATCCAGGACAGAACACGGACATGACTCGATACGGAGAAACTCCAGCATCAAGGACAGTACACGGACGTGACACAATACAACACAGTCCTGCATCAAGGACAGTACACGGACATGACACAATACGGAGACACCTCCTCATCCAGGACAGAACACGGACATGACACAATACAACACAGTCCTGCATCAAGGACAGCACACGGACATGACACAATACGGAGACACCTCCTCATCCAGGACAGAACACGGACATGACACAATACAACACAGTCCTGCATCAAGGACAGTACACGGACATGACACAATACAACACAGTCCTGCATCAAGGACAGTACACGGACATGACACAATACGGAGACACCTCCTCATCCAGGACAGAACACGGACATGACACAATACAACACAGTCTTGCATCAATGACAGTAGACGGACATGACACAATACGGAGAAACCCCTGCATCAAGGACAGCACATGGACATAAGTCAACACGGACATGACTCAATACGAACACAGTCCTGCATCAGTGACAGCACACGGACATAAGTCAACACGGACACAGCTCTGCGTCAACGACATTTCATGGACATGACACAATACGGAGAAACTCCTGCATCAAGGACAGCACACGGACATGACACAATACAACACAGTCCTGCATCAAGGACAGTACACGGACATGACACAATACAACACAGTCCTGCATCAACGACAGTAAATGGACATGACACAATACGGAGAAACTCCTGCATCAAGGACAGCACACGGACATGACTCAATACGAACACAGTCCTGCATCAACGACAGAACACGGACATGACTCAATACGAACACAGTCCTGCACAAAGGACAGTACACGGACATGACACAATACGGAAAAACTCCTGCATCAAGGACAGCACATGGACATGACACAATACAGAAAAACTTCTGCATCAAGGACAGAACACGGACATGACTCAATACGAACACAGTCCTGCATCAAGGACAGGACACGGACATAAGTCAATACGGACACAGCCCTACATCAACGACAGAACACGGACATAACTCAAAACGGTGAAACTCCTGCACCAAGGACAGAACACGGACATAAGTCATACGCTCAGCTTTGTGATGTGTTTTCCATGGGAAGTAAAGCGTTATTTACTTAATAAGGTTTTATGAGTGACTGAGTTAAGTTTTTGGCCGCGTTAGCATTAATCCAGGTACAGACCGGGACACCAGGCAAATGTAACAATAAGTATATCTATTGACTGACAAGGCCCACGAACTTGGCACACAGAGTAGTAATTTTCAGTAGCTATACTGAAAAGACACACGTATGTCTATAAATGCCAAAATATTAATAATGATCTGTCTGTATGCCATGGACAAATATTGAATTGTTTTTTTATGATTTTGATTATTACTAACGCTGAAACGACCCTTCACTTTAAGTATATCACCAGAAAACAACCAAATAATAAAACAATAACAAATTGCCCCACTCTATCCGCGATGTCCACATGTATTCTTGAGCGTATGGTAGACAAGATTTGCTTTTGGCAACGGTATCACTGCATTCACACACTATTCTTCACATCTACGCGGATTTATTTATTTATTTTCTGAACACGTTCAGCATTATGTTTTGAACCTAATCATGTTCATAAGTAGATAGTAATATACTTAATCGTGGCATCCCACGGTTACCTCCCTTTCGCAAGTCAACAGGATGACGTAAATATGTCTGTCTGTAGCTGATCTAATATCGTATCAGTGAACTCTCCTGCCCAGAGTTCCTTGCGGTCAACAGGGTACCTATGTCACAGGTCAGCGAGATGTGACTACACATTGTGTAGTTTACTCTCATTGATAAATCATCCTAAGACGTGTAAAACTTTTTTTCCATTTGCGGATATTTCTTAATTTATTTACAATAGTTGTACTGCTCCACGTATAAGCTTCTGGTGATGCGGCCATTTTGATGTGTATTGATATATTGCCATGCCTTCCCTCTCGCATTTGGGGTAGCATATCTTAATAATTATGCAAAAGAAATATGTAAATCGCACTGAAAGTATTCCTCTGGACCGGGCTGCTCTGATTTCAGTTTAAGCGTGTTTGTTTACAAACCAGGGTTGGTTTGTTTGTTTGTTGTTTTACGCCGCACTCAGCAATATTACAGCTATATGACGGCTGTCTGTAAATAACCGAGTCTGGACAAGACAATCCTTTGATTGATATCATGAGCATCGATCCACGCAATTGGGATCGATGACATGCTTCAACCAAGTCTGCGAGCCTGACCACCCGATCCCGTTAGTCGCCTTTTACGACAAGCATAGTCGCCCTTTACAGCAAGCATGGGTTGCTGCAGACCTATTCTACCCCGGATCTCCACGGGGTGGATCGTTTACTAATCTCGGACTGGGTGTCATGTTTGCTAGAGGGACTGTTGGTTCGGTCACGTGATACGTAAATTAGCCTATGGCAGTAGTCATCGCTGCGCCTGGATGTGGTATTAATAGAGACATCAAAATCACGAAGAGCACAGAGGGCTTTAAATCTAGTGTGAACACTATTTCAGTTGAGTCCATTGTATTTTGTTGGTTTTCAGATCGCTTTGATTAATAAGACAGTATGCTAGAGTTGTGGCATTTAGAGGGGTAGTGATACTTGTAGTGATACTTTTCCGCGTCCTGTCCAGTTTCCTTCTGTCCCATCACATCTGAAGGTGAGATGA